TCACTTTTTTGTCGACCTTTATTGATTTTGTCTCTATTGTACCTCTGGGCCTGTTGTCGCTTCTCCTTTGAGCAGGAACTTCTTTCACGAATGGCCAGATACCGATTTTCCTAGAGAAGGTCACGTTTCCTTCACTGTCCCACCTCGGCCTAGCAACGGCCGTCAAGAACATCACCTTTCCAATACAGTTGCCATGTATAGGCCTTGTAGGCTCTTCCTCCCCGTCCAGCAGATAATAGGTTCTATTCTTCTTGGTCATGTTGAACCACTTCTCGTCAATATGGACAACATTATGCATAGTCTTGAACTTAGGCCTTGGTGTTGTTGTTGTTGCCTCATCAAGCATCGACAAACAAAATTTCATCATATCCTTCTTATTCTGGTCCTTTAGAGCTGGCTTCACGCAGTTTGTATGCCTCCTTATCAAGTTTAACATGAACTTTCTATGAAGTGTGGTAGGGCTACACCCCAGTTGCCAAGCAAGTGACCTAATGGTAGACCTTTTGTTTAATGGGATCGTTAGGATTTTTTCTAGATTAATGTCCTTAGGCTTTCTTCCAGAATTTCTTTTTTTTTATTAGAAACATCCACCTCTTTACCTTCGCTAATTTGCCTCATTGCTTTTCTCCAAATTCTTTGTATACTCCAAACACCCACTCCGAAAAAATTTGCAATGTCTTGCTTGTCAGTTCCCAAAAAAGTGCCTCCTCTACTCATACACAGTGTATGCATTGCTACATAAGCAGCAAATTTTTGCTGGTCATTGAGGGTTTTATATTTCCTAGCAACTTGCCCAACACCTGCACCAAGACATACAACAGAGAAATGATTAAATGAAATGATCAAGTGATGAAGTGATGGAATGATCAAATGATGAAATGATGGAATGATCAACGGTAACTGTACCTGGATCTTGAACAATTTCATCTCCTTCCATTCGCTCTCCTGGATCTTGAACAATTTCATCTCCTTCCATTCGCTCTCCTGCATCTTCGTCCATTTCATCCACATCTTCTACAGGTGGAGTGAAGTTGAGATCTGGGAGATCCATTTTCTCCTGAAGATATGAATATGTAAGATGAAGTAGAAGTAGAAGTAGAAGTAGAAGTACAAGAAGAAGAAGAAGAAGAAGAAGAAGAAGTACATATAAATTAAGTCTGCTTATTGTCAAAGCAACAGTGACAATATTGTTATGGTCAATTGTTGTCTGTTTACTGTCAAAGCAAGAATTTGTTTCCTAGGTTAATGAAGCATTACCAGCCATAATTAGTTTCCTAGGTTAATGAAGAATTTGTGCGCGTTAGATCAGCGGATCTCTTAGTTGAATTCATATATAGAGAAGGGAGTGCCTGCTTGTATATATTTTACTGTTGCTACCATGCCAGACTAACAAACTTCCCAGTATTGTGCCCTTCTGTACTGTTATTGAGAAAGTTCATGGTTACTAATCTGTAGGAGTATTCCAGATTTAGTGTAGGAGTAAAAATCAACTAAATCCTTTTCCAGTTAATTAAAATTAACTAAATTCTTGCTTCTCACTCCTTTTTCTCTTCTCTTACATTAGTTCAAGATCTTCTTCATTTAATTAGGAGTAGTGTAGGAGTAAAAGCTTGCAAAAAGACCAAATCAGATTTAGCACTTGCAGTAGTATGGCACTTGTACTAATATTTCTGTTTACTCCTATTAATATTGCTAGTGTTTAATTCTGTTAATATTGCTAGTGTTTACTCATTTCAATTAGTGCTAATGTTTACTCCATGTCAATATTACTTTTACTGTCATGGTCATCTTATTTGAACCTTAAGGGTTTGTGCACCTTATTTGAACTTTCAGAAACCAGCTTAATTTCCTTAGGTGAACTCATAATATGACAATTGTTTCAGAAACAACACCCTTTTCAGTACATCAATTCTGCCTTTTCTTGTCAAGAAACAACACCCTTTTCAGTACATCATCTGCAAATTTGATTCACTTAGTGTTACTCCTAACTGAGTTCCTTTGATAGTGTGAAAGAAAGCGAACTTGAGCCAAGGTGATGGTGATGGAAATGAATGAAAGAAAGAGAAGCTGGTAAGGTGACCTACCTACCATTTTCAAACCAAGACTTTCTGTTTTGTGACTGGTCTTACTGTTTTGAAATTGTGCCCTGGCTGAATTTTCTCAACTGTAATTCTGTTGGTGGGGATGCTCAAGATACCGTAATTTTGTACCCACACCTAGCGACAATGTACATGTGCACACTACTCCATTACCAAAACATTTTGATATCCTCATTGACTGATTTCCTGAGTGAACGTTTCCAAAACTAGCAGATCATGATCTTGATATCGATATATTGCTAGTATTCCTGATTTCTTGATTGAAAAGTAACATGAACAATTTTGCAGGATGCCTACCACAAAGATGAGCAGAGAGCAGGGGAGTTCACTGGAATGGAGCCGCTGGTGGCCTGGCCGTAGCCGTGGAGGAGGTGGGGGCGGAGGAGGAGTTGAGCGCTGGCCAGGGTCAGGCGGGGCAGGAGGTGAGCGCTGGCCTGGAGGAGCCCGGCGGAGAAGCAGGGGCGACGAGGGGCCTGGCGGAGGGGCAAAGAGGAGCGCTGGCCTGGAGGAGCCTGGAGGAGGGGCAAAGAGGAGCGCTGGCCTGGAGGAGCCTGGCGGAGGGGCGCTGGCCTGGAGGAGTCCGACGGAGGGGCGCTGGCCTGGAGGAGCCCGACGGAGGATGGAGGAGTCCTGGACTGGAGGGGTGCTGCCTCGCGGATGGAGGAGGAAGACGATCTGTTTTCAAACGAGGGGTATTTCTGTACTTTTGTGCGTTTTCACCTGGTCGGAGAGGAACTCCCAACGACAATTATTTCGGAACGGAGGGAGTACAACACAGTGTATATAGTATGTATACCTAGCTTTTTGGCAAAAATAATGGGTATTCAGTTGAATACCCTTGAATTGAGGTGGGCCCGCCCCTGGGGTCAACCAATGCCTGGAAATGTATCTGAGATGTGCTGTGAATGATACACCAAAGCAGTGGGCAACTTGGCTACCTCTAGCTGAATTCTGGTATAACTCTACTTATCACTCTGCCTTGGGATGTACCCCATTCAAAGCACTCTATGGACATGAGGCAAACTTGGGAAATCTGCCTCAACCCTTGCAATCACAACAATTGGAATTGCGGGACTGGCTTAATGAAAGGCAAGAGTATTCGGAATTTTTGCATCAGCACTTGAAGAGAGCTCAAACCAAGATGAAGTCTGATGCTGATAAGAACAGGACTTTCAGAGAATTCATGGTGGGAGATACAGTGTTCTTAAAACTGCAACCATATGCTCAAGCTTTTGTGGTCAACAAACCTTACCCAAAGCTGGCAATGAAGTTCTTTGGACCTTATAAAATTTTGGGGAGGGTGGGCACAGTAGCTTACAAGTTGGAACTGCCACCCACTAGTCAGGTACACCCTGTGTTTCATGTGTCTCAGTTGAAGACTCATGCGCCAGATCATATACAAGTCTATTCGGCATTGGCAGAACCACCACTGCTTAATGGGATGAATGTAGTCCCCGAAGAAATTTTGGACAGACGCCTGGTCAAGAAAGGGAATGCTTCCTTGCTCCAAGTTCTCATCAAATGGTCTGGGTTGCCAGCAGCAAGTGCTACTTGGCACCAGCTTGGGGACAAACTGAAACTTCAGGGGGAGCTCATGTCATAACTGCTACGTTGAAGATCGCACCAGCACTAACAGGAGTACGTCTTCGAGGGAAGGAGGCACAATCAAGTGGTGGGATGGCGACCGAATACTCGGACCTGGCAGTGGGCTTGTAAGCACGGTTATATAACGTGCACAGTAGATAGTCCTGGGCATCCTTGAATTGATCCCCTTTTCGTCCTCCTCTGTACCCGGCTATATCTTCTTCTCCCCCATGACTTTCTATCTATGGAAATCGAGGTTCACCTATGGCAAGGATATGACAAAACTGCACTCCATTTTGATACCTTCCGTTCACTAACTGTGCTTGCTCCTAATTTTCTTATTGTTGCTTTCTACAAAATCATTTTTAATACTTGCAGATATGACATTTGACCAAGTTACCATACAATGCAAGGTCCGTTTGGACACATTGATGCAATTGGCTTCATGGCATCCGAAATTCTTCTCGCAGCTTTGTGCACTTAATTCTGGGTGTTTCTTCGCTTCTCCAATAATCTTCGCAAGAGCTAGGCATCTCTATTCACAGTGGCCTAATTTCAATCAACAAACTGTAGAAGAGTAAGAAGCATACACAGATGCAATGGACGGGCAATAAAGGCTGGTGTTGATCAAAACAATTACTATGTCGAATACCATAAACCAAACAATATGTGCTGCCAAGCAAATGAGTCGTGGTCAAGCAGGACTCCGTTGGCCAGTCGGCTGCTCCAAGCACTTGAAATAGAACTCTGGAAAGCACCGACTGAATAGATTGGCGGCCACCCCCATCACCTGCACAAAACCCGACAGAGACAACAAACTATATATGGCGACAGATTGATACTGTACAAAAGATGTTAAAAGACGGTATTGATGTACATGGGGCAAGGTTTCCCCTCTCTCCCAGACTACCAATTCCACATTTTAGCAAGCCAACATGGCCATTTACATCATTTCCATTCTAACTTTTAAACCAATGAATTAGGTAAGTGATGGCTGTTGTCCCCCTAACAACTTGGGGAAACACCAATCACGATGAATGTTGCTGTACAAGCAAAGGGATGCAGAGTAAAACAAGTCAATCCCCACCATTCACCATTCTGTTACGGACAACAAGCTAAGAGACTTATAACTGATTTTCACCACAGCATGCAGCAACAGAGCCCTATATCTTTCAGCCAATGCAAACTAAACTGGGTTTTCTGAGCACAAGTTTCTTTTTCCAACGAATGGTGATTCCTATGATGCAAACAATTTGGTATTTACAGCAATGCAGAAGCGCCTCCTCCTTCAAACTTGCAGGTAATTCTGAACGACTGTCACTTCGCTCGGAAATCATGTCTGAATGTTGTGAGATTTTGAGTGAATCTGTCTCTGTTCTTTGGTTCCAAGCTCCTTGTGACATCAGTCATGAGCTTATCGAAACACTGTGAGAGGCGTTGTTGCTGATCTAAAGGCTGCAAACAACAGATGTGTTAGCTCTTACATCGATATAATTACAGTAACACAAGAAGGAAAATTGGAAGGATCAGCGTAACTATCATAGCATAACTCTAGTGAGATGACAGTGTTCAAACTACAGAAGATATCCTGTTTAAGGAAACAAACAAATAGTTCACCCAGTGTTATTTTTGACAGGGAGGCCCAGTATATTATTTATTTTCACATGTGCTACTTCCTCCGATCCATATTAATTGTCGCACACTTAGTACAACTTTAAGGGAGTACTTGAAATAGATTATTCCAGTACTATCGACAATTAAGATGTCATCAGAAGATAGTTCAGTTAGAAATATGTATTATCCTTGAAATAGATTATTCCAGTACTATATACAATTAAGATGTTAGCAAAAGATAGTTCAGTTAGAAATATGTACTCCCTCCGTCCGGAAATACTTGTCGGAGAAATGCATAAAAATAGATGTATCTAGAACTAAAATACATCTAGATACATCCATTCCTCCGACAAGTATTTCCGGACGGAGGGAGTATGATATTTCCTCACCAACTTGATATGCTTTACTACATGTGAAATCAAGATATCACAAGGTAACTTCAATAGACTAGTTGCAGCCTCTAGTATACTCCCTCCATCCGGAATTAACTGTCGCTGAAATGAAACGCGTCTAGATACACTCATTTCAGTGACAGTTAATTCCGGACGGAGGTTGTATTTTTTTCATACCAAACATAACTGGTACGTAAATATATTAAAAACTTCTATAGTTCATCTTCTCCTAAACATTTCCCACAGGAACAACGCTAATGGAGTTATAAGGATCACTTTTCATAAAGTTACTTATTCTGCAATGTGACTATCAAGCAAACATTGTTGAAAGCTTTGATGATATCTGCATATTCACAGTTTCTGGTGCAATCCTAAAAATTAATACCACCTAAGAAGAACACCTGGAACAAGAAACCTAGCCCTCCTGAATTACGTCAGATGTATGTGCCCATATGTACCATCTATTTGACAAAATGAAGTTCAACAAATGAAGAAAAATAAGGGGAAAGGACAAAATGTATAATGGAACTTAGAGCAAAAGAGCAATCTAACCTGTGATGCTAATACCTGTGATCTCAGATCACTAAACATCTGCATGCCAAAACAGAAAAATTAATCAAAATTACATGAAAACAGTACGAACTAGGAAGAGAAAGAGAGAACAGGAACATGGTTACTAACAACAATAATAAGAGAGGCACCTGTTCACTGATCATTATCAAACTAAGTATTGGTCTACTGAGACTCCACTGGTTACCCGCATCCTCGAAGATAATGATTTCAAAAAGTGACTTCAGTATCTGTTGCAGAAAAAATTATTATTATTATCATTACATAGCAACCTTTTCGAATATGGTACAAAAGTTTAGCGTCACAAACCTGAGGAAATAAACTGGGGAGCTCCCCAATATGTCGAGCAAGATTCAGTGCAGCTGGTGATGGTGGATTATCACCAGCTGTTATATTGTTAAAATAGAAAGCAGCCAAGCTATCAATGGCAGAAGCGCACTGCCAAAAGAAAAAAATAGAATGCATATAACCCAAACAGCAATAGTATCAGGCATATACATAAGTAACAGAAAGAATTTTTTGCAACAAAATGTGATAAACTAGCTTCAGGCATATACATAGTAGATAATAGAACTTCATTATTCTTTGTTGTGGTTACAAGTTGTGAAGCAAGTTATCCCTTAGAACACCATAACTCAGGCACTGATCCATCACTAGTGTCATGTTGTTATTACAGGAACATTTCCAGGTGGTAAAGAGAACCATAGTGACATACCTGTGTTGATATTCCTGTATCTAATCCTTTCAAGCCAGATTCAAGCGAGGTGACAATATGCACAAATGTGCTTGTGTCCAAATTGAGGACAGAATTGATAGTGATATGGTTGTTGAAAAGAACTTCCATATATCCATAGTATGCTTTTGAAAGCTGAAATAAATCAACAGCAATGATATGTAAAACAGATGCATCTACGTGACCACAAAATGCGGATTGTCACAACATGATCATCATGGAGGTCCGCGTATTTGCATATTGTCCATGGTTTAACCTACAAAAACATGATCCACACTACAAACAAAGGATACTACTACTCTTTAGACATGACCTATCATAACCAGCGCACAGCAAAAAAAAGCAAGGTGCAAACAAAGGATATGGCTTACAATCCTGACTCCTGTTTTTACATACTCCCTCTGGTCACTTTTATAAGACGTTTAGACAATTCAGACAGTGCCCAAAACAGTTCAGTGTCAGCTGTCCAAAACATCTTACAAAAAAGAACGGAGGCAGAATATTATATTTGATTGAAATGTAGAATAATACGGGTTGGAATACGAATTATACTGTTTTAAATCTTTAGGTCATAGAACAGAGCAAAAATTCCTCATGGAAAAGATTCTGGACACCACTACTTTCCATAAACCGTTCAGTATGTGAACCCTGGTTGCATATGCACCCACAGCATATTACTTTTAACACACCAACCATGTAAATACATGAGATTACTTTATTAAGAAAGGATTTACTCAGTCACATTGGTACCACAATTTTGGTTCAGTTTCCGATGACCGAACTGTTGCATATGCCAAGGATACACGTTCTATGTGAAAAAGAGACAACAACTTCACTTCTTCAGTGCTATAACACTTAACACAAATGTTTTCAGATAGCTAACAAACATAACATAGGAAAACAATCGTAACTAAATTCCAAAGATGGCATGAATAACTTGATACCTTTTTAAGTGTCAATATGTCAGACAACGGAATTGACAGAGTCATCTTTAAAGATATATCAAGGGCATCCGCAAGTGCTCTGTCACCATAAAGCTCGAAGACACCAAAATTGACATAGTTCCCACATAGGGCTGCACATGCAATTCAAGTGAATGCCAGTCAAAAGAACAGTAAATTATCAGCAAGAAGAGATTACAATTCCACAACACGATTCAAATATTTTTATGTGACAACGATATAAACACAGCAATAAGCAGCACTATTATCTTATTATAACCCTAATAATGCAAATAAACCTCAGGTTAAAAACACGGCCCCATAAAACCTCCTAGAATCTGAATAAAGTTGCCTCCTACAACCAAAAGGCTTTTCACAGAAACCAGCCAAAATGTATAATTCACAAAATTTGCCCTTAATAGTCCCCTTGAAACAAGGATCTCTTTCAAGTGGCTGAAACAAATATACTACTACCACATAAGTCCTTGAACATTTGTATCATATACAATGAAATTAACATCGGCAAAAACGTAAGCAACCGGCGGTCACAAAAGAAAATATGTTTCAAAACACAATACGCATACTCACCCCTTGAAAGAACAGTCAATGAAATCCATATGCCTTTGTATTTACTTCTATAAATATTAGTGCCATTTGGAAGCAATAAAATCCGTGAACCATAAGCCACAATCAGCTTACTAATCTCCCGGAACAGAAGGATCCCATTTGGTGATGATGAATCAAATGTCAATCGTTGAGCCTTATTCAAAACAAATTCAGACATGAACTTAAGTAAGGGTGTGGTGACCTGCATGTGATGATGAATGAAGAGAAGATTAATAAGCCATGGATTCTAGATAACAAGGTTAAGCTCAATAAAAGCAAAGTGTCCCAAAAAATGTAACATTAGTGATCATTGACAATAACCTCTGGTTCATCAGTCAGCAGGGAGATGGCTCTCAACAGAAGAGGCATGCGAGACGGATACAACCAGTCAAATAGGAGGCCGTAAGTCCTGCGGCTGAATTAGATCAACAAAAGAGCAGTTAGTTTCCAAATTTTACAAATTATTGGAACACTTGTGTATGTTCAGAGAATACACCTGTTTGTGGCCATAGCAATGCCTCGTAGATCTCTCATCAAACCAGTAAATGCGTACTTTACAACATCAGTCCGGAAAGCAGCATCAGCACTTGCCTCCAAATTAACTGCAACCTATAGTAAAAACAAAGAAGAAAATCAGATAACAAATGTGATAAAAAATATATACTAACACAAAAATTACAAGCTATGCACCTGCAGAAGTGGCTCCATGAAACTTCGGAATTTTACTGGGCCATCCTCCATGAAGACCAAGCAGCCCAGGATGTAGTAGAAGTTAGTTCTACTGCGGACACATCTGTATTCTTCAAGAAACGGAAAATTTTCCCGCTGGCAGTATGAATAGTCAAAACAGAATCATTTCCAAGACCGAGAAGTGCAGATATCTATCAAATGAAAGTAGTGTGAAGCACTTACAGAATGATTTGCAATAATGAACTTTGTACTCTCCAGCTTGAGAATAAGCTTTCCAGTCATATAGCTGCTATGGCAATACAAGATGAAAATAAAAATCATGATGCTAAACATGAGAAAATGAAAACTGAATACATAAATCTACAAGTTTACCCAGATGCAAGCTCCAGGAACAGTGACAGAGTATGATCAATAACATCTTCGCACTGTATACACATCAAAGGTTAGCAACACCTTATAGATCAAAGTCAAAGCTGAAATCAGTAAATGAATAGTCACCTCAGCATAGCACTTCAGATTTGTAGCTATTTTCCCAACAATGACGTTGAGTAAAACTAAATGGTCAGTCAGTCCAAGAAGTTCAGACAATCTTGCATACAACTGCTGCAGCAAAGAAGCAGTGCTTTATAATATGACAGAAAGGTATATCAAGATGCAGTACAAATAATATCAATCTGTCGTATAATTTCATGTTTCTAAACCTTTGAAGCATGCATGGCTTGGTCCCCTACATATGACCTTCTGAAATTTTGAACAAAGATGAGAATAGCTCGATCAAGCCTTTGCTTACTTATTTCTTGATATCTCTGCAAAGAAAAGATAATGAGTTACAATTCACATAATAAGCTTGTGCCGCTTATAAATAAATGCTGGTAAGCAAAGTAAAGCCCTGATCTGATGGCATGCCATATAAGGATGAAAGAACAACAACAAACTCATGCAAGTCCAGCAAACTGAAGATGAATTAACTGATTTTGCTCAGAACCAAGTTTAGAGAACCAAAAATGTTTTTGGTGAAATTGGTTTTAAACCACTAGATATCCAAAAAACCAATACATCGGCATACAAAGCAAATTATTTGGATTAAGGAACAAGCTCTATGGCCCCGTGGCAGATTGTGAGCATCACAGCAGGGCCCATGGCCATCCACAATCCTCAACCTCATCATTCATGCACATGCACCAGATCAGTAGCAGTTAGATCCAATCACGAGTCCTCAACAAACAAACCCTAGAACATAAGGAGAGGCTGCCATGTCACAAGCAACTCCTTGTGAATCCTTCTCCCTCTCCCTATCTCTCGCAGCCACAGCGAGAGCAAAGGCCGACGGCAACCATTGACATGGCCAGCAATTTTTGACAACCTGGTGTGATGAGCATCTCTTGGTTTCCAGGTGAGTGTATAATGTGTTTGACCACTTCAAGTCAGAGATATGTCCTTCTACCATGTAGCATGGTAAGGTGTTTCAGTCAAAGCTCGCTACTGGAGCAAACCTCGCACTACTCCCCAGCTCCGCACTACGAATTTGCAAATCTCAACAGACTGCCAGTGTTGAGCCAAGGAAGGAGGGGATGAGGCCAAGTCATCGTGCCCTGGGCAAAACGCGTGCTACAATGGGTCACAAATCTCACAAGGGTGAGACAACTCCAAAAACACGTCCGTAGTTCAGATTGCAGGCTGCAATTCTTTGTACGTGATCTAACGTGCATTGTGTTTTAACCAAAAACCCAAACCGAATTGTCACCAAAGTTTCAGTTTACAAAAAACTAGTACTAGCTGTTTCTGTTGCTGTTTTCAACTATGCAAATTAGTACAAAAACCAAAACCAAGTTTTCGCTTAACTGAATGTCCATACAAGTGAACCTAACAAGTAGCCCATACAAGTAGACTATTTCAGTAACACGAGTGGCACTGGATGTAGGGTGCACGTCAAACAGTAAGTGTTTATGGGGGCTGTTGTTTCTGCCATTTCACTATACCCTCAAATTCATTATTTTTTTTGCCTAAAGTGAACCTAACAGGTAGCATTGGGACAAAAATATGGTTGCTGTAAAGAAAACTGAACACTTCCAAAATTAGTCATTTGAAGAAGGGCAGTTGCAATTTTACAAGGGAATGGAGAAATAGGTGGTTGGACATTTATGGTATAGCTGGGCAAAAGGTCAACACTGTTAAACTGTGAAGATTCTTGAAAAATAATGTTGTTCCAAAAACCAAAAGAACATGTCTAATAGCATTACCATTACTACGTATGCAGGCATCTATATCAGATAGCACATAAAAAAGGAAAATCATCCTGCTAGCAAACTAGCTCATCCTTCATGTCAAGCGACGAGATAGTTTCACCTAACCTGTGCGTGCACCCCTGTGTCAGTAATATTTATCAACTGTAACACACGAGCCGCAAGTTCCGCATCGAATAACTCCTGTGAATCTTGGCTGCAGAAGAAAATGGCGAACCTTGTTTGTGAAAAGAATATTAGAAAAAGAGAAGGCAAACAGCAAACAAAATTAATTACTCACCTGCAACCCACAGTCTGCCTAATCTTGAGAATAGCTGCAATTATGTGGACCATCCATGCAATTTGCCCTTCAATGACAGACAGCTCAGCTGCATCTCCAGAAGCTGGTAATCTTGACCTTGCCTGTACAAATATTTTACTTTGAATCTCTTCTCGAATAAGAAAAATGAGAAACAAAACTGACATACCGTATAAGCTTGTAGAAGAGGCTCCATGATATTAATGATGAAGAGGCTACAGCTTTCATACTGCAAACTCATCAAAAGAAAGTAACTATCAGGGCATGCAATATAAAAAAATTAAGCAAGTCCAAAAATCCCAAAAAAACAAGGACTTTCTTTTTCTAGAGAACATGCAAAGCCTTGCATGTAAATTTCTTGGAAGAAACAACAACATATAGAAGGGAAGGCCGCCAAGAGGTCACAAAGCCTCTCAGCGAACAAGCCGGGCCAAAAAAACAACAATGTCCTAAGGGGTTTCACGTAACTACTGCATCCTGATGTCAAGGAAATCAGTGATTGATGTAATTCTATAGAAGGCAAACAGATAAAAGGAAGCCGGCGTTTTGCTACAGAAAAACTTATATTTAAAAAGGCACAATCACGTTTAGGAAACAATGAAATCGGATATAAACACATGTATAACAATCCATGAATGCATGAAAATATAAATCAAAATGAATCCATGAAAAGGGGGTCAATGATTACAGGAATTGGTAGAACAATCATTTAACCACTGCATCCTACTATCAAAGAAATCACTTGTGATTGAAGTAATTCTATAGAAGGCAAATAGATAAAAAGTAGCAGAAGATTTGCTAAAAAACTTATTTAAAAAGGCACAATAGCATTTAGGAAACAATGAAATCAGATATAAACACTCGTAGTGGTGAGTGGTGACTGGTGACTGGACATGCATAACAACTCCATCCAAATCTCAATTGAAGGAATTATAAGCCTTCGTATATACGTCCACCATTCTATAGAAATATAAATCAAAATGAATCGAAGAAAAGGGGGTTGATGATTATGGGAATCAGTAGAACAATCCTAATCAAAGTATCAAACCCTCATACCGAGTTGAAGGGCCTACAGCTACAATCTGTAAGGAAGAAATTGTATCATGGTTCATAGTAAGAAATAGTGCAGGTAAAGAATTATGGATGAATTTTATACCTCAACGATCTCATATACTGAAATGTAACTTAAAATAGTTTTACACGAGTTGTCCAGATTTCTCTAATAGATCAGGGTGTAGAGTACATATATTCCTTCACATCAGTCAGTCCAAAACTCAGAGTTGAACAACACAGTTGATTCAGCAAAAATATCATGTGTGGTCACTAAAATTTCGTCAACAACTTAACAAATGCAACAAGATGAAGACTATAATGCTTGTCTGCTGCCTTATCTTTGTGTAGACTCTGAATTCAAACAAAGCACTCAATGTAGAGAATATTCTGAGGTTGCGAACAGTTTGTCAGCATCTTAAAAAATCAAGATGAGTAGCAGAATGGTCCTCTATTGCATTATCTATGTGTAGATTGCGCTGTTTTGGCAGCCCGAAAACTCTTGAGTTGAATACATAAGCTTACTGGACATGCTAGTGAGAGCACAAAGGTAAATATCACATGCTCGATCCAAAACTGACACATGCAAACCCCTTAGCCACATTTACTGAAAAACTGGAATAGGGGCTAAATACAACTGATGGAATGCATCCAGATGAGAAAGCAAATAAGGCATCTTATTTTCAGTTTACGAAAAGCTGGAATGTGTCCATGTTTACCGAGTCAAATCAATGTTTTGAATACAAAAGATATAATATATTAAATCAGAAAGAAAAAATTATGATGTAGCAGCACCTTGAATCTACAAAGATAAGGAAGACTCTCCAGCTGATCCTGGAGACTTTCCGCATTTTCTAATGGATTATCTGGGTCTGGTGAGTTGTCCGCAAAGCTGGCCTGTGATGAACAGAAATGACATAATAATAAGAATGGCAAACAGTTTCTTCTTAGACTGAAATAAAAAAGTAGTTGACCTCTCACAGAAGAAGGTACCTGGACAGAATTAATTCTAGAAGTGATAAAACCCTCCGTAATTTTGGGTACAGTTTCATCAAGCAGACTTGGTGTATCGCCTTTCAAGTAAGGCACAGATGTCACCAGCCTTGACCAGAGACTTAAAAGATAGTAGACGCTATTACTGGCCCACTACAAAATAAATAATTGGTATCATACCAAAGTCACAACACGCAACAATCAACAAAGATAAAGTGAGCAAGAAGAAAGACAAACCTGCCATGATAGCAACGATTTAGTTGTAAATTCTGCTACGAGACCAAGCCATTCACCATAGAACTCAACATTCAGAAGCTCTGATAACTGCGAGGTATAATAGATCAAATGTTCAAAACATTTAATAAAAAATCGAATAATTCCTAGCCTGAAGGATCCCTCTTCTACCGAGGCATCACACATGGGGCATAAAATCAGTACAAACATGAAGTAAGCTAATTAATAATTTGACCCAAAAATGGATAACAACCAAATTTAAACCAAATCACCTGGATGTAGGCATTCCCAATATGACATAAATTAGATTCACAAAAATAAACAACTAGGGAGTATCACAGAATAATATGATACAGTTTGATAGAATGTTGCTTCAATCACAAATCACAGATTAAGTTGCACTATTTTCGACTAAACAAATCAATTCATGGCAAACTTTGAATAGAAAAACAACATTAATATGTTTTCGCTTGAAGACAAGTAAAATTGCAATTTGAACATAACAACAGAAATAAGTCATAGCTCACTAATACATGGTATATTTGGCAAGAGAAAAACAACTACAACCATACAAAACTGAGAGATGTCATTATCCAGCAACAAGTTTATTTACAAAAATGAACCCCAAAAATATACAAAAATGGAACCCCCAAAAACATCATACATGGGGGAGCCATAAACCACAACAGGTCACCACTTAAGACATTGACAAGAATAATGATCGTGATATGAATACAATGTTCCATCAAGTACAGTGATGTTTGTTTATGGCTACCATTTCAAATAATACATCAGCAGTCACAGCACAGAATGATGGAACTCAAGTATAGCATAATTGGTTGACCGATTTTTGTCATTGATAAAGCTAAAAGATTTGGAGAAGCTACAAAACCAAAATAGTACTAGCTCATGCATCCAATACCAGGAGAGCGAACTTTGGTAAAAACTACATGCATACTTCACAGCTGTTGCATCACTATCATTACTGCAATGGATAAGTTTGTCTGTAGTCTACTAAATACTTAAAGAAACAAATATAAACATAAACATATCTTTGGTCACAGAACAGACAAGAATTGAAGTAGGGTTATTCTTAATTTAAGTAACAATATCACAACCTGGTAATTCACTTTAAAACGTCCCAGAAGACGGCAGAACTCATGGTAATTTCCATGATCAGCGAGACCTGTTAATGGTAAGTCAAAATAAATTACATAAAATTATTTAATTCTTTCCACAGGTGCATCGGTAAGCTATGACTTGTAATTCAATTCAAGACTTTAGGTTCATGCAACTAGTAATTAGCTAGTCAACTTAAATGCTTCTTAACTGGTGAATAACAGGTTTGTTCCCTTCACTAAAGGACTTCAATCTAAGACTATTGTTCTGAACTGAAAAACAGCACTATTAACAATCTTGCAAGCAAAACATAGAAGTGCTAAACCTTGGCCTGTTTGGAGTATCTCCCTGGTGCCTGACATCAGATGTGAGAGAAACTGGGACCTGGCAGGGTCTTCCACAAAAAGACTTCGCCTGACAGAAGCAAGTCTGACAAGACATTCCAAAGCCTGTAGAAAACAAGGCCCATGCACAGATACATAAGACAAGCATTTCTCGAAGAAAAAAATCGATGTAAAATTCATGACAAAATTAAAATATGCTTCTCAGACTCAGATATCACCAGGAAAATACTGCTGCTACATCGGAGTCAATCAAAATATTAAACATCAATATTTCATGACTTGCAGGTTCTAATAGCTAGTAACATACCAATACTAAATACTCCCTCCGTTCCTAAATTTAAGTCTTTGTAGAGATTCCACTATAAACCACATACGGATGTATATAGATGCATTTTAGAGTGTAGATTCACTCACTTTGCTCCGTATGTAGTCCATAGTGGAATCTCTACAAAGACTTATATTTAGGAACGGAGGGAGTATATAATACCCAGCCAACCAGAAGGTCGTTTAAGCATGCAGAACCGTGGATTACTGGTGGTACATTTGCAGAATGTACTACTGATAACACAGCATTTAGATCACTTAAAATGTACCTCTTTTGAAACAGATGTATCATTGACTTTGTAGTAGTCAAAAAAGATCTGAACAGTGGAAGGATCTTGAAGGAGAGGCCTCCAGGATGCAGGAAGCTGCATGAAGATATAAATATGCGTAAACTACAGGAAAAGGCAAAAAAAAAAAGAAGTGTCCGTTTAATAGGAAGCTAAAAATTAAGCAACCAATATACCTGCACTGTTCCAAATTCTTCAGAGCTCTCATCCACTGGAGAACCAACAAAGTCAAATGACAAGCACCTCAATGCAAGCGAAATAGGAACACGCCTTAGCTCATCTGGTACTGTAATTTAAGAAGAATTGTATTAGTTGGTGGAAATGAAATCAGAGTAGGTATTCTAATAAAGTCTACTGGAATGACACATCATGCCCACGTAACACCTCGAACATCACCTTCACTTTTCAGTTGGTGTAATGAGGTAAGAGAAATTTGGAAAATCTGCAGAAGAAACTGGTCCTTGAATGAAGTTGCAATTTTTCTGTGAAGTGTCAAAGGCATTGCAGAGTTTGCCTACATGCATAAAAAAGATAATAAACATTCAACTTCCTCATACAGTATGCTTAAGAAAGGGAAATGATTGATACAAGAAATGAGCATTACACTATTAATAGTACTGAAAAAAGGAAAATAAGTCAACTATAACAACTAAAAATCATGACCAGAAGCGATGATGCTAGTCATAAACACCAAAAGCTAAAGGTAGTTTCCAATATGACTAGAACAGTTAACTGTATACCGATAACTTTAATTGGTCCAACTATTCATAGAGTGGTTACAGAAACACAAAGAAGTAATGTGTTCAATTGAAACTAGTAGAGAGTAGAGATGCAATTAGGATATTTTTCTTTTGCGTTAAGCTAGTAAGCTAGCTATCAATGTGCCAGAACAATGACTAGGTTTCGAGATCTTATGGGTTTCAACTCTAGCATACCCCAACCCTAAGCTATGTGTATTCTTTATTCATGTTATGAAGAGCACAACACTTGGTTCCACCTTCAATGCAAACGGAACTCCCGTTATGAGGAGTTGAAAGTAACGTTCAATCATCTATCCAGAAGTAACAACAAAAGGCGGAAAAGGAAAAAAAGGCCATAAAAAAATTGGATGAGAGGTCATACTAACAGATGACCTGCAACAGCTTCAAGCAGTTGTAAAACTGTCAGACTTCGCCCACTAGCAACTAAGTGAGACCGCACCTATCACGATTGATACTAAATCCCTTCTAAAAAATTAGTGCGCATGTGGAATCCATATAGGGTATGGAGTAAATTAGAGAATTTATTCCAAAAATAAGAAAGCATGCACGCATACAACAGATGTAAACCAGTAATTAATCTCTGAATATGTACAAGATACAGGCTGTCTGGAGAAGAGACCAACTTTGACTGATAGCCATCAAATCTGTGGGATGAATAATCAGGATGAATGGATCCACTTTCCCCGTATATCTCAAACTTAAACTTGTAGTTTCTAAAATTAGCATGGAGATATAAATGAAGATTGAACATCGGTGAGCCAACCATCCCTATTAATTAATACTCCCTCAGTTTCTTTTTACTTCGCGTATAAGTTTTGGTCAAAGTCAAACTACACAAAGTTTGACCAAATTTATATTAAAAAATATGAACATCTACAATACTTAAACTATATAATATGAAAATACATTTCATGGTGCATCTGAAAATGTTGATTTCATATTGTGAATGTTGATATTTTTTAATATAAAGTTAGTCAAACTATGCAAAGCTTGACTTTGACCAAACCTTATATGCAGACTAAAAAGAAACAGAGGGAGTATCAAATACACCTGCTTATTAATATTGGTAGGATTAAACAGTAATATTCTAACCATTAGACTAGTCACAATGGGTAGTAACTTAGACTAGTAACATGCAACACTTCATTTATTAGGTTGTAGACTCATCTTGTCCTGGTATGTGTGATGTTACAGTAACTAGCTATGTTACCACATGCCCCTCTTTCCTCATTAATTACTCGCCACATCATCTGTTTTGCCTAGAGATGTGTGATGTTACCACCTATGTTACTCCCACTGTGGGTAGTCTTAGGACTGTGCATGCTCTTTTGCATGCCAATAATGACATCTAGTACGAATGTAGTGAGCCACATTGTTTACAAGGCGTCCTGCCTTAGACGCTTAGGCGATAAGGCGCCCTGGCAGCGCCTTACAAATATGCCCGCTTTAGGCGCTTAGGCGTCAGAGCAGGTGGTGCTCGCTTTAGGTCGCCTTTTTTTTGCGGGAGCGCTTTAGGTCGGCTTAACACCTTATAAACAATGGTGAGTGGTAAGTCCATCGTGTTCGCTAGTACTTATACACTCTTAACTCACACACAGTGTCCTATGAATGTACGTGTTAGTGGTTCTATGCCCATGGAAGCTAGATATATCCGTCAATAAAACTGTGCATGACGAATAACGTTAGACAACAAAAATATTGTGCAGCATTATAGAAGCAACAATGTCAACACCTTTTTTGGGAAGTCAACCAATGTATTAAGTGTTAATATAAATGCCTAACCATATTGAATAGAGAAGAACCGTTTATGGAAACAAGATATACAGTACAAAATTTCCAGATCTCACCTGGTTCATTTCCATTACGAGAAAATTTAGTATCTTCAATCCTATTAAATAGTGATCCTGAGATGCCTGAAGACATAAGCATAAGCAACAAATTTAGAAAACTGAATCAGATAACATTTGACACGGCATGATCTAAAAAAGTTCCAAGTGAAATTTTATTGCGGAAACCTGCTTCATTTCAATTCGCTTTCTGTAAATAGGTTGATTGTAATTGGCACTATGCTACATGCTAAAGACATGCAATCAGGTTTTGGCATGAACAAGACTTCTGCTTCATAAAACCAAAGGTGTTTTAGAAAGTTCAATTCATCACACTGACTTGTCACCCTCTTTGCTTTTTTGTATCTGGAAATGGAAATAACTATACTACAAGTACACAGCACAAGAAAGTGCATTTTGGAGCAATTAAAAATGTGATAAAATAACTCACACCGTACCAGTTCTCGGTATAATTATCAACTGAAACACTGTTAAATTTGAAAGCTGGTGCTTGCTCCTCATAGTACATTAAGAAAATCAAGTTCGATTTACCAAGGAGATGCAAAACCAAAATAATAACTCTGTTAAATACCTCCAAGAAGTTAAATTCTTAAAGCCATCAGGAATTAAGCACTATATATTTTGCTTACAACTTACCGTCTTTCTGTCTAATGAGAGTCATAACCATTGTTTATAAGGCAGTAAGGCGACCTAAGGCAAGCACCAACCGCCCTGACAGCTAAGCGACGCCTAAGTGCCTAAAGCTGGCATAATTGCAAGGCGTTGCCTGGGCACCTTGCCGCCTAAGAGTCACCTAGGCATCCAAGGCGGGACACCTTATAAACAATGGTCATAACATCCATACATTTTCACACGCAGATGCATATGTATCTGGCACAGCTGGTTATATTTTGACGGTTGGTTCTGAGGAGAAGGTTTCAGTCAACTATGACATATGGAGTCCTTACTTCAAACATGACACAACTCTACTTTAAGCAACAATACTTGTCCCAGGTATGGAGTCCATACTTAATCATGATAGGAAATTAGGCAACTCCATTACGAATGCAAAAAAACGCAAGAAATACTTACCAGAGCTAAGAAATCTGTTGCTTCTTTAAAAATCTCTCTGAATCTGTCGTCATCAAACCATCCAAATTTTGTTATCCGACATGCAAGCTGAATTAGGGAAATAGTCACAAAGTTCTGCAATTTAGGTCCTCTTGCCGCAAGGTAGTTCATGACATAATTCCCTTCACACAGATTACAAATAGATTAGTCTTTAATTAGGACAAAAAATGGCGCAGAGCACAAGTGTGTTAGGGAGGATAGAGATAAATAAGTTATCTATTTCGGCTAAAATGCATAAACATAAAAATTGAGATAAAATGAACATAAATACTTATCCCTTTCAGGTATGCTACAGAAGCACAAAAAAAGGTAAGGATAGAGTATGTACATTATCATTTCAGCTTTGTAATAAACATAAATGCTTTTAAAGACAAATAAAAATAAATTGTGAATCAAGGAAATGACAAAACTTATTCATTTGGTAACTTATACTCAACATCTGTAAATGCCCAACTACCTTGCATGGTTACATGACAAGTACAACACACACATGAATGTGAAGATATAGAAAGAGACATAAAGCCAACATGCCATGCAGATGCAACAGTTGAAAGAATCAAAACTCAATGACATGCAATATCATGCTATGTTGTCGGAAAAGAAACATTACGGATATCAAGGCGCAATTGTAGAGAAAGACTGCGATCTGACACTTGCTTCACCAAGCTTGTACTGGCCAACATCAAGGCATATGGAGTTGACGCATTGTCCAATATATATTGGCACTGCGAAATGTAGTCTCTGTTCTCTGAGAAGCACTTGAGCGTACTTTCTGCATGTGCTCTCTCAGCCGAGTCTCTAGAGTTGTAAAGCTTTTCGCACAACACCTCTAACTGTGCTAGGCTCTCCATTGAAGACATGAACAAGGAGCTCCAATTTGCCGTTTGATCAAGTATCCAGGATTAATATGCCACCAGGTTCTGAATTAATATCCACGAATTTGCATGAATGGTCTTCACAAACTTAAAGTTAATGCATTAGGTATTCGCTTCAGTAGGGAACTTAAAAAGTACCATAAAAGCTCTGAAGCTGAAATATATGATTCTAGCACATGAAGAAGGATTGTCACAATACATTCATATTACAAGAGAAATGTTCCAACAACAGAGTTTCTCAGGTACAGTCTTTTCAGTGAAGCTTAATCAAAGATTAAGACACAAGACACAAGAGAAAACACCTAACAAACACTTAAATCGCCAATACCAGCCACAATCAGCCTGGGGTTGAGTGATCTGCACGGATGGAAATGCAAGACTCAGTGATGGCTAAAGAAGCACAATGACAAAATAATCATCTACCAAGAAGTTTCTGTTGCATTTTCTATAATGCACAAGTGCTCTCTAACACAAACACCCAGGGGTACAGCAAAACATAATGGCAGAGTGGCAACCTTAAAAATTAACTAAATGATGCATCTGTAAGCCATTCTATTTTACAGAGCACAAACAAACACAAATACCAGATCACAGGTATTGAACAGCACGATGAGATGACAAGTTGACAAGTATTTTGAACAGGAAATGCATGCTGCAATTGCTATGCAAATTATTCATACAAAACCCATTTCGGTATATATGCAAATTGGCAAAAGAATCACAACACTAGAAGCTTGTGGTATCATCCCCTAATCCTCAAATCACCCATCCGATTGCAACATAATAGCGTCAATGCATCAAAATCGTTCTACTTCGCCTCCTTATCCAAGGATCTAAGCACATCACGAGCCACGAGAAAGCAAAGCCGAAGATCCGATCACCATCAGAGAACAAACCAAGCAATCATCTACCCATAAACGACCACGTAAGCATCCTCGGGAGATCCGGCGAACTCCCAACACGTCGAGATCCCCCGAACCCCGAGCGACCCCGCCGAATTCCACGGCATTCCAATCCTAAAACGCCGGAACGGGCACCGCGTTGGCGGCCTGAGCTACCACCACGGGCCCGATCGAGCTCCCCGCGCTGAGGAGAGGCGAAATCGCGGCACAGGCAACTCTACGGTAGACGTCGGGCAGCAAAAGCATCGCGGCCGCGGCGATCGGGGGCGTGCCGGACCTACCTTATCCCCGTGCCTGCGGAGTCCGCGGAGGTCACTGTCCGACGGCGGCTGTGGTGGCTAGGTCTAAGGCTGCCGTCTCGGCGTGGGGATCGGAGGCGTGCGTTTTTGGGTGAGGGAGGGGTGTGGGAAACGGAAATGAGGAAGCTAAATAGGAGCGAGGACGACGGGGTGGGGGTGGGGTGGGGAGCGTGTGTGCGTGCAACGGTGGGGAGTGGGAGGGGATGATGTGCGGCGCTGTGGTGTGCCGGTGACGGGAAGTGATGGGCCGGGTTGGACTTTGCGTCTGGAGATTTCTCTGCTAGGGTTCATCCACGCACGCATCATCACTTTTGCTAGCCTATCGTCCGGTACAGCTTACGACAATGTTATTTTCTTTCTCTTTGTTTTACACAAAATACAGGTTGCTACAAGAATTCATTTTTTTTAAACACGCAGGAGATAGTAGTCACAAATTACAAGAGTTGTGGGTCAGCGTCATAGCCCACAAGACGGTAGACCTACGGTGGCACCTGAGCTCGAGCTAAGTCGGGGGTAATTCTCTTAAGACTACTGTTCCCCACCTTCTGCCACTCATAGTCATAGCAAGTGTTTCAAATAGTGTCGCCAACAAAGTGTGGCAGTTCGGCTTTGTAGCAAAGTTGCTACAAGATTCATGTAGGCTATCGTCCGCTACTGCTGCTTACGTCAACTGTATTTTCTCCCAAATGATAAATGGCACAACGTGTAGCACGAATCACTCCGATCCTGACGTTTTTTACAACTAAAGTTGTTACGTGGAAAGAAAAAGCTGAAATTTGTCATCCAAAAAGAAGTTGTCATGCTTGACAACTAAAGTTGTCATCCTCGCGACACTAAACTTGTCATAAAAATGTTGTAAGTTGCCATGTGTTTGTGCCACATGTGTGACACTTGTCAGGATCCTATTTTCTTTCTCTTTGTTTTACACAAAATACGGGTTGCTACAAGATTCATGCAGGCTATCGTCCGGTGCTGCTGCTTGCGTCAACTGTATTTTCTCCCAAATGATAAGTGTCACACGTGTGGCACGAAGCACTCTGATCCTGACATTTTTTACAACTAAAGTTGTTATCTGAAAAGAAAAAAAAACTAAAACTTGTCATCCGAAAAGAAGTTGTCATGCTTGACAACTAACGTGGTCATCCCCGCGACACTAAACTTGCCATAAAAACGTTGAAAGTTGTCACGTGTTCGTGCCACATGTGTGACACTTGTGATGATCCTTTTTTCTTTCTCTTTGTTTTATTCAAAATACGGGTTGCTACAAGATTCATGTAAGCTTATATTTATTAGTATTGTTTATGTTTGTACATTTAAGAGAAAAATATTGCTAATTTCGTCCTCGGGTAAATGGAGTACAATTATTGACTATTAACTAAGACACAATCTACATAGATATTATCATCATCATACGTCGTTGAAACGAAAGAAGGGGCAAAAGGTTGCCTCAAAGTATTGCAAATAGTAAAATATACTCTCTCCGTCCCGAAAAACATGTCGTGGGCACAGTTCATGGGTGATTTTGCAAAAAAGCCCTCGTAGTTTTAAAATCGTCTGAAAGAAGCCCCTCCGCCCCCTGTCTTCTTCCTCCGTCGTCGATAGGGCCGGCGCCGCCCAGCTGCCGCCGTCGTCGTCATCGCCGCCCATCAGGAAGTGCTCCGCCGCCGTCGCCAAGTACCTGCTCCGCCGCCTCCCCCGCTCAGACCTGCGTCACCGCGATCCCCTCCCGCCTCGATTACCCGCGGGCGTCGTCGGGACCTCCGGCCACGTCCTCCTCGAGCTCGCGGGCGTCCACCTCGAGCTCCAGCGCATCCTCCTCAAGCTCCAGCGCATCCTCCTCGAGCTCCCGCGTGTGCGCCGCCGCAATTCCTCCCGGCTGCGATCCCCTACGGGCGTCGCCGGAAATTGCCTCCACGATCCGGTGGACCAGGAGCTCGCGCGCTGCCTCCTCGATCTCCCGCGCGTCCTCCTCAATCTCCTGCGTGAGCCCGTGCAACTCCTTCTCCTCTGCCCGCGCGCCCATGCGGCTGCTTCTCCCCTACCGCCGGTGGAGCTCCTCTGCCCGTACAGCTTTTGCTCGTCTACTAGTACTGCTGCTGCTTGTCTGCCGGTGCTGCCGCCAGAGCTCCTGCTCGTCAGAAGGAAGAAGGTACCGTAAGGAGTTGCTCCTCTGCTCCCTGTGCTGAATATGATCAGTGTACTAAGGAGTTGCTGCTCTGCTCCTGTTCATCAGGAAGAACAATGTTAACTGAATATGATTAGTGTTAACTGAAAAAAATCAGTAGATATCAGCAGAGCAAATTATGATCTGAACAAACACTGTCAAGTGTAAACTGTACTCCAGGGAAAGGTATGGAGTGGATGTGGAGTGTAAACTGTCAAGTGTCAATTATGATCAGAGTATAATTCAGCTAGTCAAGTGTCAATTATGATCAGAGTATAATTCAGTCAGTCAATGGGAATTTATAAAGCTCTTTATCTTCATCTTGCTCTGTTATGGGGACATGGCAGACCAAAACCTCACAGTTTTTAGGATTCATTGGTCTCCAAACCTGAACAATAGAAAGCAACTTGGTGTTAGGATCGACAACCACCACTACCAAAATTCCTATTCGGCCTAGTTGTAGTTGTAGATCCAAACCAAACAGACTACTCGGCGCCATGACGCAAACATGTGCCTAACAGAAGATGGGAATTGATGATAGTCAACATCTTTGGTAAACCAGGCATTAGATAATCAACTTCAAGAATTGTGTATTTTGCATGCTCCCCTTCCACACACCCGGACTAACCATAACCAGGTTTCTATCTAGAGATCAGACAATCGTATATTTTGTCTTATTTAAAGCTATATAAGAGAACCTTTTTTTAGAAAGAGTTGATAAGAGAACCTTCTTTTGCCTGCAATTTCCATTGTACATTTACTATGTCGGGGAGTAGAATTTTCCCCGACATGTCTGAGTGTCAGATCCATTTTACGAAGCTGGCTTATCAAGCTATATCAAGGAATGTAAGCTTTTCTTTAAAAAAAGGAATGTAAGTTGAATAGCATGAACCAAAGCAAAACTCTAATAGAACTGTCCAAAACATGACACATGAAAGATGTCTAATAATCTAATGCAGGTCACAAACTCCATTGTTAGGTTTACATACAGGAACCCAAATGATGCTGAATTGCTTGCTGACTACGCTGATTATCAATTGCGAAAATCGAATCACAATCTGAAGAGTCAGTCAGGTGTTTGTACGAAAGGAGTAGGCTGAAGATGATTACAGTTTACATACAACACAGGAAAACACAAGCTTGCACAGGCTGAATAAGGCACCACCTCACAAGATGTCATAATTTTGTTAAATATCTAAACTCGGCCATAATTCGGTTGAACATGCAAGGAAACATTTAACTTGTGATGTCAGTGAAAACATCACCAGACTGTTAAAATTCAGTTAAAAGATCTGTACCTTGATGCAGACTAAAGGGAGTAGGTTAACTGATTTGGTCCTGTGGCTGGTCAAACTGTACCATGCCAAAGCATTTCCTGTAGAGAGAAAAAACAAAAATAAGCAAACATAAATTGATTGGAATGTGTTGTAGTTTCACTAGGAGTAGTTTATATGCAAAGGTAATAAATCAGTTTTGATTCTATTGACAGGAGTATATTTTTCTTGACACTTTTCTACCACAGGCATGCAAAGGTAATAATTTGGATTAATTTTAGTTATTTGAATTAATTTAGAATATTTGGATTTATTTCAATGAGGCATGCTAATGTCACAATCAGTA